TTACCTACGTGACTTTACCGAAAGAACTAAGAGTATGAATCATTGCAGTCACGAAAGCTTCAAATCTGGAGCAAGTGCTGCTCGCGTCCAGCTAGTAAGTCTGGCACGTAACGTGGCCAACAACGCGCGCAGAGGCGATCTAACCCATCAAAAGAACCTGTGTTTACACCATTGGAACCTCCTTTGCCAGTAGCAAAATATGATCATTGGGTTTTTACCCTTTTATCTGGCAACAAAACTGACACCTTTTTTTTTTACAAGGAGTCATGTTTGCATTGACCACAATACCTGCAGTCGGAATGCAAAAAAAAACACAACTCTGATAATGTATGCACTGTCCTTGATTGGTCCACACCCGAGACAGCTTTCCTTAGAGCCTAGTCTCACATGGTGTTTGGCCAGATAAAAGGGTAAAAACCAAATTATCATAACTTGTGTTATGGATGATATTGGTCACGAAAGCCGACGTGTTAAACTAACGACTGCTGCCTGATTTTAAGTGGCAAGGCGTTCTATACCTCGTGCACGCCACGCTAACAGAAGCGCCGGTCACCAAAAGAGCGACAACCCCGCCTAAACCTGGGAGTGCTGAGCAGTTGGAGATCAGGCGATCTTAAGGACCCTGATGGAATACAAACATCGATTTAGTTCCTGCAATTGGTGTGGGGGCGGGAAGTGGGGTGAGCACTTTTAAAGCCGAGTTAAAACAATGGTGGAGTTTTTTACCCTTCTATCTGGCAATAAAACTGACACCTTTTATACAAGGAGTCATGTTTGCATAGACCACAATACCTGCAGTCATAATACAAACAAAAAACATAACTCTGATAATGTGCACTGTCCTTGAAGTTGATTGGTCCACACCCGAGACAGCTTTCCTTAGAGCCCAGTCTCATATGGGTTGGACCAGATGACGCCAAAAGGCGCACAACTCAAAGACAATGCACCATCAGAGTATGAGAGCTCAGGGTAAGCATTTACACCATGGGAACCTGATTTTCCAGTAAAAAATATGATAATTGTTTTTTTACCCTTTTATCTGGCAACAAAACCGACACCTTTTTTACAAGGAGTCCTGTTTACATAGACCACAATACCTGCAGTCATAATGCAAACAAAAAACATAACTCTGATAATGTGCACTGTCCTTGAAGTTGATTGGTCCACACCCGAGACAGCTTTCCTTAGAGCCTAGTCTCACATGGTGTTGGACCAGATGACGCCAAAAGGCGCACAACTCAAGGACAATGCACCATCAGAGTATGAGAGCTCGGGGTAAGCATTTACACCATGGGAACCTCATTTGCCAGTAAAAATATGATAATTGGTGTTTTACCCTTCTATCTGGCAACAAAACTGACATCTTTTTTACAAGGAGTCCTGTTTACATAGACCACAATACCTGCAGTCATAATGCAAACAAAAAACATAACTCTGATAATGTGCACTGTCCTTGAAGTTGATTGATCCACACCCGAGACAGCTTTCCTTCGAGCCTAGTGCCCTAGTCTCACATGGTGTTGGACCAGATGACGCCAAAAGGCGCGTTTAACCAGCATCGCTCTCCTTCCCGTCGCTGCCCGCTCACCCACTCGGTGGTACGAATTGGTTACGACGCAAGAAGTTCGTCGCTCGGCAGATCGCCAGTGGTGGGCTAGCGTGTGGGTGGGTAGCCCACCCCCACTTCCAATACGTCTGGGCAATTGCAGGGCTGCGCCTTTAACCCCTTTTGTTCCACTTCTGAGTGTCGTTGAATGTTGCGACGCGGTACGAACTGCTGAGCCAAAATCTCTAGGGGGCGCCACGGTGGCTATGAGATGTTTACTACCTCGCCTGGTATACAGGAGGTTGTGGGTTCTAAAACCCGGCCCTGACGCCGCGTCTCTCTCTCTTTCTCTCTCCGCCGTGGTCACGAAGATTTGTCTCCGGGTCGTACGATTTTCTCCCTCCACATTTAGAAATCGACATCACCACGCGGCGTTTGGAGTGCTTGGCTGCTTGCTCTATATACACATGTGGTGATCAGCCACATCGTTCGATCAGCTGTCGTTTTTAAATAGCCGGGTTGCTTCTGAAACAAAAATAAGTATAACCCGTAAAAACAAAGTTTTTCACTATAAATCCTTTATATGCGTGGCGGCTAGAGTCCTCTCGTCCTCTGGCTTGAGATGGTTGCCACCTATGGGTCAGATGATTGTCTGCCAGTATTAAGCAATTGGTAATTAAATATTTAATTTGTTTTCCCTGAACAGTGTAAAATTTTGGAAAAAATTTTTCACGAACATTAATTGTCTCGCACAACGAGTCTGTGTGCAAAATGTCAGCTCGATTGGATCACGGGAAGTGGGTTAAAAAACGACCGAAAGATTTACACGGTCGTAAGCAAGCAAGCAAGCATGCAAGTAAGCGAACTTAATATAAAGGATTTAAAAAGCGAAAGAGCTCAGTGGTCCAATAAGCAAAGTTTCTGTGGAATTTCTCTCCCCCGCCCGAGTTAATTATCGCCAAAAAAAACAAAGCCCCTCCCCCGCCCCCGTATAGCCTTAACAGACTGTTGGGGCAAGTGCTGCTAGCCAGCAGCAGCACTTTTGAAGGCCGGCACGGCGCATGAAGAGGTGGCCACAGGGCCGGATTAAGGCGTGGGGGCTTTAGGGGCAAGTTGGAGGGCTTCCAGAGATGACGTGAGAAGTTTCTTTCGTTTGTGAATGCTGCATTTGGATTTGTTGTTAGCCTTGTAAAAGTAAATTTAAAATTTCTATAACTTTGTTTTCTCTTCTTGGTTCTTTCGGTAAAGTCACGTAGAAGGGAAATAATAAAGTAATACAAATAAAACATTATAAAATAATTCTCACGACGTTTCGGCCACAACGCAAGCAGCCGTCCTCAGGTGAAGAACAGGTCTGTCGGAAAGACAGCGTCCGAATGAACACCACCAAGCTTGAAAAGGGCCGTCTTTCCGACAGACCTGTTCTTCACCTGAGGACGGCTGCTTGCGTTGTGGCCGAAACGTCGTGAGAATTATCTTATTATGTTTTATTTTTATTACTTTATTATTCCCCTTCTACGTGACTTTACCGAAAGAACCAAGAAGATGAATCCCTGCAGTCACGAAAGAAGCTTTAAATCGAAATATAAAATATAGTGGAGTTTACGGTAATCAGCATTGCGATAAGCGACTAAAAACGAATTGAGTGGTTCAGTTGGCGGTCGACGTTTAGAAGTGGGCTCTCAAAGTAACGGCGCCACCTCCATGCCCCCCCCTCCCCCCGCGACCCCCTCCTCCCGTGATCCGTGGGATCAAACAAACGACTCGAGACACGCCGGTGGATTGCACCACCTAAACCTCGCCCATTTCCCTTCGACATCAGGAGGAGTGGGGAACGATGCCAACCCCAGCCGCAAGCGATGATGAAATTCTCGCCTGCAACTTTCATCAGCTAGCTGAGACCGTGCCACTAAGGGTTTGAATGGGGTCCTGGGTGTACGCCCACCACCGGAGTGGAAGAATGGCAGGCGCATCTTACAGATGACAAGTCGATGGTCAGTGGGCAGATCAGCTCCACGGTAGGTCCTGGTGTCAAGGACACGGGCCCGCATCCGCTGTTCCGTCACTAAATAGTCCACCAGATGTTCTTTCTTGGACCTGGCATGCATCCATGATGTGGTGTGGATGCGCCGATGCCGGAACAGCGTGTTAGCAATGACAAGCCCATGGGCTGCACAAAAATCTAGCAGACTTCTGCCGTTGTTATTGAGCTGATCTGGCCCATGCCTTCCAATTACTCCAGACCAGGTGCCAGCATCATGACCAACTCGGGCATTGAAGTCACCCAACAAGATGACTCTATCCCGAGGGGTCACTTTAGCTACCACCTGTGACAGGAGGTCATAGAAGGCATCTGACTCTTCTAAGGGAGACGATTTGGAGGGTTCGTGGTTGGTTGTCGATGATGAGTGGAAGTGCGGTGTGAGTTGCCTTGAGAATCAAGATCCTGCTCAAACCATCTCAAGTCTCCTCTTCACTAGTACTAGTACTGCTCGACTTCGGTACTTCGTACTCATCCACGTGGTAAATGGTCTCCCGACTGAGATTGAACTCGGACCGTGGAGACCGTGGAGAGATGTGAGGTATGATGGCCCCCTCGGCGTTCCAGAGTTCGATTCCCGCTCACGGCCAACACCGGCGACGATAAATTATCTGAAGTGGTCCTGGGCCTCAGCCTCAAATGTGTACCTGGCACGGTGTGTAAGCCTCGCCACGAGGAAGGCAGAGGTGGCCGCACGTGGCTCTGGCCACCACACCCACCGCCTCGTGTACCGCTCCGTCCTTCACAGGTGCTCCTCGCTACCAGCACTTGCCTCAACAGTCTGTCAAGGCTATATGGGGGACCTTTGTCTGTTGTGTGTGTCGGGCGTGGTTGCTGACCCCCCCACTTTGTCCGATAATTAACGGGAGCCCACACGGGCGGATCTTCCGTGTGTAATAAAGCTCGTTGAGGCGACTTCTGGAATCCGTCTTTTATTCAACTTATGTTACAGTTACTTCACGCTGCTGATAGGCAGCGTGAGAGGGACAGATAGAGAGAGAGAGAGACGCACTGCCACGTGGCAACTCGGAGCCCCGCTCCCGCGTGGCCCCTTTCCTCTCTTCGTTCCCGTTCTGACCACGTGTCGTTCGTCTCCACCCCTATTTAATACCCGGGTCACGTGGTACGTTTCCGCCAATCCTCGTTAGCCTGCATGGAATCTTCCAGGCTCCCTCGTCAGCTCCCGGGACCACGCCCCTGACTCATCTCCCCATTGGCTGTGGCCAAAGCCAGCAGAACCAATCCTTATAGCTGTCACCCTTCCATCACGTCAAGGCCACGCCCCCAGGCTTCCCCCCATTGGCTGTAAACCAGGACCGGCAGAGCCAATCACCATGACGAGTTGTGATACGTCAGTGAGCCGGATATATCCTCATATTACACGTGCGCGCGTGTGTCTGTGCGGTGGGCCAGGAGGCGGCGTTGAGGGCCGAGCGGTGGTGCGGGTCACGTCCCAGGCCCTCACGGCGGCCGTCGGCTCCTCGGTGCTGCTCAACGTCTCCTTCTCGCTGCAGCGGCCCAGCGGGGTGGGCCCCCCCCCCGGGTCAGGCGACCCCCACGCCGAGGTGGACGTCGAGTGGGTGTTCCGCAGCGGCGGCGGCGGGGAAGTGCGCGTGGCGCAACGCAAGCAGGGCATCACCAACCTGCGCACGTACGAGACGGGTGGGGGGGGGTGTGGGCAGGAGGGGGGGCGGGGGGCAGTGGGGAGGCAGGGGGTGTAGGGGCAGCACCAACCTGCGTGTGCATGAGACTGGGGTGATGGGGGGGGCAGCGTGGGGAACAGCGCCGACCTTACCAGCGCACATTCAATATTTGTCCTGCACGGTTTCCACGCCGCAGCCTGTGCTCCCCCCGACACCTCTCACGGCGAATGGCCCCGCGGGTTGAGATGATGGTGGCGCCGGCACAGGGAGGGCTCCACGCAGCAGCGGATAGATCATGGCCGCAGGAGGGGATGTTCCAGCGGTCGTATGACGGGCGCGGTGTGACGGGCGCGGTGTGACGGTGGTGTTGTGACGGGCGCGGTGTGACGGTGGTGTTGTCACGCCGGTGTGAACGTGACGGTGGGCAGGTACGACGGCCGCGCGCAGCTTTACCCGCTGAACGGCAGCCTGGTGCTCAACTCGCTCACCAAGAAGGACGGCGGCATCTACACGGTGCACGTGACCGACACGGCAGACGGCGGCAAGGACCGCAAGCAGATCCAAGTCACCGTGCTCAGTGAGGGCAGCACCGGCGCCACCGCGCTAACGCCACCGCACTAACGCCACCGCACCAACGCCACCGCACCAACGCCACCGCACCAACGCCACCGCACTAACGCCACCGCACTAACGCCACTGCACTAACGCCACCGCACTAACGCCACCGCGCCAACGCCACCGCACTAACGCCACCGCACTAACGCCACTGCACTAACGCCACCGCACTAACGCCACTACACTAACGCCACCGCACTAACGCCACCGCACTAACGCCACCGCACTAACGCCACCGCGCTAACGCCACGGCGCTAACGCCACCGCACTAACGCCACCGCGCCAACGCCACCGCACTAACGCCACCGCACTAACGCCACCGCACTAACGCCACCGCACTAACGCCACCGCGCTAACGCCACGGCGCCGGCGCCGGCGGTACTGGTGGTGCCGACCGACGCCAGGACGCCACGAGTCGGCCGCACGAAAGGAGGCTTCGCTGCTTCGAGAGCGACGCGGCGGCACACAACCAGCCGGCCTCACAGCCGCGACCCTGACCACCGCTTCTCCACTCCGCTCTATTCCCTGCCCCTTTCCCCGTAACCCCCACCGCCACCCCCCCACCGCCTCCCCCACAACCTCTCCCCCCTGCAGACCCCGTGTGGGGGGTCTCGCTCTCCCCGTCGCCTAACCCGGCGTCGAGCGGGACCTGGGCGGAGGGCCAGAACGTGAGCCTCTCCTGCTCGGTGTCGTCGGGCGACGAGGTGTCGCTGGCGTGGAGCCGCGGCGGGGAGCCCGCGCTGCTGCCGCGGCGCCACCTGCGCTTCGCCGACAACAACGCCACGCTCGCCATCGACGGCCTGCGGGCCGACGACGCCGCCACCTACTCGTGCGTCGCCTCCAACCGCGTGAGCCGCCAGGAGGCGCCGTTTGTAGTCACGGTTGAGGGTGGGTCGGGGGGTGGGGCGTGGTGGGGGTGGGGGGAAGGGGCGTGGCTTGGCGTGGTGGGGTGGGGGCGTGGCTTGGCGTGGTGGGGTGGGGGGAAGGGGCGTGGCTTGGCGGGGGGCGTGGCTTGTCTTGGCGTGGTGGGTGGGGAAAAGGGGCGTGGCCTGGCGTGGTGGGGTGGGGGGAAGGGGCGTGGCTTGGCGGGGGGCGTGGCTTGTCTTGGCGTGGTGGGGTGGGGGGAAGGGGCGTGACTTGGCGTGGTGGGGTGGGGGGAAGGGGCGTGGCTTGGCGTGGTGGGTGGGGAGAAGGGGCGTGGCTTGGCTGGGGGGCGTGGCTTGGCGTGATGGGGGGGATGGGCGTGGCTTGGCGTAATTATTTGAGCCACATTTGTCAAAACAAACATGTATCAGTGTCCACCATTTACCGGTGCTGAGTGGCTTTTGCGCCGCACCGGAACAGCTGCCACTGGGGGTGCCCTGCGGATGTGGAGAGATGAGACGTGAAATGAACCTCATGGCGGTACCCCGCGGGATGTGCCAGAGTACCGCGTAATGTCCGTGACGCAGTCGCTTTTAGTCTGTTAATGGTGGACGATGCGGCTATCGAACTCGTCTCGACGAGCTGCGCTCACGATGCACCGCCGCCACGGTGCGTACCGCGAGCGCTCGGGGTCTCGGCGCAATCGTCCTCGCTGCGTGTCGATGTCGGATTGATTGGTGCCCCAGTCGTGGAGTGAAGTACACAAAAATAGTGTCCCAGAAATACCAACA